TTTCACATTAAACTCGTCAAAAATCAGTGAAAATAAATTCCATACAGAACGCCCAAATAGACTTTTCAGCGAAAATTAATTCCAGCGAAAATAAAGTATTCCACAGTATATAAAATTTAGCATAGAACACATTATCTAAATGATAAAACCGTGAATTTAAAACCCACTGAATATGCCTGAAATAGGAAATCAGCGAAATTTAAACCCACACAAAACACCCAAAAAGCCTTTCCAGCGAAAATTAATTCCAGCGAAAATAAAGTATTCCACAGTATGTTGCATATTGCAGGAGTGATCTTGTCACTCTGTTCAGGAAAGTCTCAACAACCATCCCATAATATTTTCAGCTTTGTTTTCATCTGTGACAGAAGCCAGGCGGTGAAAATGTATGGATGTCTGCCCTTGAGAATTGCTAAAGATTTGACAATAAATTTGTATTTACTGTGAAATACTTTATTTTAGCTGAAATAAATTTTCGCTGAAAAGACTTTTTGGGCGTTTTGTATGGAATTTATTTTCACTGATTTTCAACAAGTTGAAATGTAAAATATAGAAGGTATATTCGCTGGATTTTATTTTCACTGAATCGATCCTTCAGCGAAAATAGCGAAATTTATTCCAAGAAAAAGTACTTACAGTATTAGGAATATTAAGGAGCTGTAATCAGTTCAAAAAAAATATTTGGGTGCTTTTTTCACATGATCAATCTTTGGCGATTGCCTCCTGGAGAAATTTTGGATTAGCAGATGTTTCCAAGCTAATACAATTATAGTAATTAATATTGAGTATGATACATGCCATATGCACTTACAATTTAAATTCATGAATATATATTTGATAATTTCACAAGAATTAAGTGCCATAATATATCCTGCAAAAATTGTGGTACAACTTTTTGCTCTTCTTTTTATGCATTTTGTAGAACAAAATGAACACAATTCCCCATATTTTTTAAAAAAAGAAAGAAATAGTTCCATTGAAAAATTATTATTGTAAAATATAAAAATAAAGTGTGCCATTAAATCTCAATTAGAAGGCACACGTCTAACAGAAGTTGCACCCATTCTTTTTTGAAAAATTGAGAACCAAAAATTCATCATTTCTCATATGTGTAGATGCTCTAATAAAATCCCCATCCCCTCTGTTGCATTGTAGCATTTTATATAATAAAAAAACATCAAATTGACAATTTTATATTGGTTTCTATGATGAAATTATTTCTTAATATCTCTAAATTATTTCTTAATATCTCTAAATTATTTCTTAATATCTCTAAATTTTGACATAAGACGAAAAAGTTGTATATTATTAACATGAATCCTAACATTGTGAAAACATTTAAAAAAAAAATTACAAATAATATAGAGTTTCCAAAGTAATATTTCCCATAATGCATTGTGTTTCCATGTAGTAACATGCTCCGCAGAGCAAAACTTGACTACTAGTATATATCGAGTACTGTAAAACACTTTATTTTACCTGGAATTAATTTTTTGTGTTTTGTATTTATTTTCACTGATTTTTGATGAGTTGAATGTAAAATATAGGAAAAAAAAGTATATTCTCTGGATTTTAATTCACTGAAACGTTCCTGCAGCGAAAATAGCGAAAATGAATTCCAAGCGAAAATAAAATATTTTACAGTATTCTTTGTAGTTTACCCATGTTACTACCGTAATATAAAACATATTTAGTTAAAGAACTCTGCAAAAAGTAGATTTATGGCAGTTTGGAAAGCAAGCCAAGCTGGCTTCAAGCCAGTTTTCAAGTGACATTTGCACTGTACTGTAATTCAAAGTTGACACGCGTGATGAGCCATCAGCAGAAAATAATCAAATCAACCACCATCTTGACAGACACAAGATACATGTACAATATTTGTGTACGACAATATGCACTTTTATCTAAAAGTTTTAGGAGCGTGTGGTGCCACCAACCCAGCGACTCACGGAAATACCAAATGTTATTTAACAGATACCTATAGATATCTACACATTTCAATATGTAAACAATTTATTGATAGTTTTTACAGTATTTTCTAAGGACTATGGGTCAAATACTGTAAAATACTTTGAAATAGGTACATGCCATTTTAGCGAATTTGACTCCATGCATGAATTAAACTGAATCTTAATTTAGCTAAAGTGTCAACAATCTCACTGCGAATATAAACTATTCTAATTAGCGACATCTTAATTTAACGAAATTGCAGATTAGCTAAAATAACGTTTTAGCTAAAAAGACACGTTTTACGGTATATACTATAGAATACTTTATTTTCGCTTGGAATTTATTTTTGCTATTTTCGCTGAAGGAATGATTCCGTGAAATTAAAATCCAGCGAATATACTCTTTTTCCTATATTTCACATTAAACTCATCAAAAATCAGTGAAAATAAATTCCATAAAAAACGTCCAAAAAGCCTTTTCAGCGAAAATTAATTCCAGCGAAAATAAAGTATTCCACAGTACATGCCTATAATGCTCTCTCAGCAGTACATGTAGGCAATTGATTTTTGTTTTCAAAATTTACTAAAAATCTCATAATATTATAATTAACATAATGATGTAGATAGGAAATGAGTGACATTTTTGTTTTTAATTTACATTCACTAACACTCAAAAGAAATTAGAACATATTGACATAGAAACTCATCGGGGCAGGGGTGGCGTTAAAAACTGTAAAACAAACATTTACGGGGATCCAACAAAAATACTAGCTCCATGGTTTTAATTTGCAGGGACATAGTACATGTATAAATGTACATCGTTTACAGAGCAACAGCTTGTGCTCATAAATGGACGTGGAATATACGATTAACGTGCCTATAATAATATTAGGATCGACGGATCACGCCAAATTTCATTTATACATGTATCTAGTAAACCACCGCGCGATATTTTTTAAAATTAAATAAACATCTTCGACTCGCGTAATATAACAGGAGTGAAAAAAAATAATTAATCGGTACAAGTCGTTAGCAAAGAAACCATACTCACACTTTTTCTTGCACCAGCCCGTAAAAGAAATAACTCACGAAAATCCCCAGAAAGCACACCAACAATTTGAGCCGGGAACCCTCTGCCACGTCAGCCTTCATTTTCAACGGTTCAGTTCTTGTATCTTCGTTCACGGATGTCCGAGTTTCTAGTTCAACATCGTCAAAGTCGGAAACCGGAGCTTTGTCGATATTTGTTGAAGTCATATGCAGATTTTGGGTTCCCACGCTTTCCCGTTATTATTACCGGCGTACTGTTGACTGGCTACAAACTGGTCATGTGAACTCTCGACGTCGAATGGCAACAGGACACATTACAATCAGAGGACGTCGCCATTTTATGAATAATTATCGGGGTGATAGGTCAAAGGGAAGTCCCGATCAAAGCGCGCCCACCTACGATAGATATTTCAATGTATTTGTTTTTCGATAGCTTTGCTGCATTTTCCACAAAAACACGCAGTCTGTCATTGTCGTTTTTAATTTCATTATTCAAGAGCGGCACCGTTTGTAAATTTAATTTTATCAATGGCTGTTAACCCTCGCTTTTTCTTTAGACAACAAATCATGCAATATTTGCTCCATATTTTGTGATAATTTTCAAACTAAGCGTTAAGTTCTGGCACCGTATAACATAATTTCAATAATTGTATGCAAAATTTGACAAATGAACAAGTACAAGCGATGGAGCTGGGATTCATTTAATTCACATCAATGTATCCGCCATATTGTTTTTTGCCCCACTGTACGTGAACTCAGAACAGCGTAAAATGTGAATAAATAAATAAATAATATTGTTCTATTGCATTTGCAGCGCCCTCACACGGCAGAATGAAACGTTTGAATTCAGCGATATTTATTTGTAAATGTGTTGTAATTGAATAATAATAAAATAACAATATTAAGGCGAATAATTATAATTACTCTCTTAACATTCACCTACTTAACTAAAATTTTCCAAATGTGAAGAAAGAAAGAAAAAATAAATAAAATGGAGAACTTAAAACCAACCAATTTTTGCATATATACAGTAATTGAAATCAATCAGGCAGCTTTTAAAAATACCACATACCAGTAAAAGAGTGGTTAGGCTGACTGGAGGGAACAGAAAACACTATTTGAAGGGAAAAAACAAGTACTTTAGCTCTCACTTTAAATAATCCTGGTAATCACAGGCATATAAAATTTATTGACTAATATTACAAATTGATTAAAGCGCAGTAGTCGTCGCACATGGGCGAGATATATGGGTCTCATATAAACAACGATGGCGACTTTGACTGTTGCGCAGATCAACGAGTACGAACCGAGACATTTCCAAGCTTTAATTAGGTAATTTTCATGTTATTCGAAGGTATCAAGGAGTCACCGGCGATAATCAGTGCAAGACGCGCCCAGGTCAAACCTCATACTTGTGATTTCCATTTGAAGAGCGCAATGAACTGTGGGAAAATCAATGTTTATCAACACAAATGTCACACATGCGCGATAAATATCGCGCTTTAAAATTTGATGTACTGTAAAATACTGTATTTTCACTTGGAATTAATTTTAGCTATTTTTACTGAGGGGATAATTCAGTGAAAATATAATCCAGCAAAACAATTAAAAAGTCTTTCCATGAAAAAATAATTCCAGTTAAAATAAAATATTTTACAGTATGTAGCATGTATTATTTTTTTCATATATCCCTGTAAAACATTTAATTTTCATAGATTTGAATTTTTTGCGATTTCATAATTTTATAGGATTCAGAAATTCACTGGTGTTGTGGCACCCAATAACTATTTTTCACTGCTACAAAGTTCTACAAAACAAAATCCAGGAAATAAACTGATAACAAAATAAAATGTATGAAAACAAGATTAAAGTAAAGATAACAAAAAATAGGATTTTAATTTTAATCAACTTGGTTTAAATTTCTTTACCACCAGACTTTCTCACTCAAATTTTTCTTCACTTTTTTTTTTCTTATCTTCTTCAATATTTCTAGAAATAAACCCTAATTTTGGAGCCAAAGACAAAATTTTAAGTTTTTACTCAAACAATTTGACTTTTTTTGTCCCAATCTTCTGAAAGAAAGTGGAGACTATAAACGGAGCTATTTTGTGAATTTGTGATGAAAAGAAGAAACTGGTTGTGAAAAGATTGAACGTGAAGCACTCGGGCTCACAATACAGCGAATCCATCAATCAACCATTACACCTGGCAAACAAAAAGAAGCGCATCCTCCAAATCAATAAAAAACTTGTAAGCATCGAAAATCTCATTTTTGTGTTTAATCATTTTATTACAATTAATATATTATAGAGATTAAAAGAGTATATTGATAATCAAATAACTTACAGTTCCAAGTAAGTACCATTATTATACATCTGTCACCCTAACGCCATAAATAAATCTTACCATATTAGGAAAT